AATGAGCGGCTGCCAACTGACTGCGGGATATACTGCTTCATTTTTATCAGATTTCATTTATTAATCGCTGACAAAGAAGCAGCAGAGATTTACGTTCTTCAAACCACGAGTATGAAACCCTCCGTGAGTCACTGCATGTGCTGTATTTGCGTCTGTGTGTGTGTATCAGGTATCTCGCCATACATTTTTTGATGCAGCGGTTGCCTAGGAGTGCATTCGATACGTAAAGTTCTTGCTTTTATGTATCAGAGCAGCTTCGTGGGAACTTTCTGTTTGTCGCCGGTAAGTGTTCAGGTGTGCCTCTGATTATATGGACTGGATGACCCCCCGCCATTTATCTTCCAAAACACAAAGGTATGATTCTGCAGCAGCGTAACAAAGCAGGCAGCAAACGTTTAGAGGGCCGCATTGTTGGGTAATTACAGTAATCACAGTTTGAAGAATAAACTAGATGGAATGTACGCGTCTTACTCTTCCATTTCGCTGGAGCACATGTGCAATCTCACACACTTTCACACCCACACCTGAGCAGACGCACAGCTGCAGACAAACATACACTCCCATACACAAACCCCAATACTGGTGCCTACTGTGCCGAGTGCAGGAATGAGAGGAATTGATGTGGAATGTCTGACTTTTTGAGGTGAGACACACCGCAGTACCTACTTGTGTGCCCCAGTGAAGCATGTCTACTATCAGCGGCCTCTGTCAGAGACTAAATCTGCTGCAGGGAATCTTGGGAATCTCAGCTACGCAGCGCCTCTTGTTGCTGTTCCTCCCTGTCACACACAGCCTGTACTTTGTTTATACAAAAAGACATAGGGGCTGGACACCCTTCACTCACAGAGAAGAAAGAAAACAAAGATGAGATACAGGTAAGAAGTCATCCAGAGACATGCAGACAAGGGTTAGCGTGTGAGCGCAGACCGCCACTGAGGTGGGGCTATTTTTGGAGCTGCGAAGGATTCACCCACTGAATTTACATTACTGGGATTCCATTCATGTCAGCACTTAAAAGAGATTTCTCCTGCTGCTCAAAGGAGACACTTGAAATCTCAGCAGGTGAGCTAAAACAACAAAGTGCCACTTTTAGACACGTTAACAGGTTATATAAGAGCAATGCGCTTCTCAAGTCTCAGTGTGGTGCCGGGCCGACTCCTCTGCCCTCGATGACCTTGCAATTAAGGCGATTTCATCACGTCACATATATTATCTTCCCATGTGAACCGGAAGGTAAAAGACGATCCCGACCTTCTCAGATGATGTGATGTTCAGAAATCAGTCTTAATCCAGAGATCCGGAGAGTGATGATAATGCAGCCCTTCACTGACACCTGTGGGGAAACTGTCTTTCCACTTCTGATTTCAAATTGCCATGTGGAAGATTAAAAAAAAAGGGAAAACAGGTGTGCTTGCCTTTCACACCAAATCACTTCAGCACAGGTGTGTGTGTGTGTGTGTGTGTGTAGCCATCTTGGCAGAGTACCTGAAATCAAATGCAACCTCATCACACTTCTGCAAAGAAAAACACACACACAGGCACACCTACCACCAGCCAAGCGGTGCAGGGCTCTCTTTGTGTCTTGTCAGGGTGCTGTACAGCAGCGGCGATAATGATAGCACACATGCCGCCGCTTCCCTCTCAGCTCTGGTTTTAGGCTCCCAGCAGTCGGCCTCCTGAGTTTCAACAAAAACATTTTGGTTTCGACTCTCCAGCTGCTGCAGCAACATCCCGGTGAGAGAGGGAGGCAGTTTCCAGGATCTAAATTCGATTAGAGGACGCCTGACGACCTTTGGTTTCCCTGACATCCTTTCTCCCATCACAGCAGACACTACAGAGTTTCTGATGTCAACACTGACCCCGGACTCGGAGATGTAGGAGCTGAGGTGGCGGACGATTGATACACAAGACTGGGGTTCATGTTCTCTCTCCTCTGTCTTTCCCTATAGCCACATTCTGGTTGTGGATTTTTGTGGACACATTTTTACACACATTAAAACCAGGGCCTTTATCCAGATGTGGCCACATGATGACACCTCTGTACTTAACAGATACACATAAACTGTTTTAATGTTGCCGCATGAAATTTAGCATTTTTGACAAAAACTAACTCAAGGTCCAACTATTTGCAGAGTTTTCAGCCATATCCGGTGGCTCTCAGCGGATGGAGTGTGTTGATTGGAGGTTGTTTGCTTTCCTCACAACAACCCCTTTAAATAGCTGATGTCAGCAGATCCATCTCCACGACAGCTGAGCGAACTCTGAACTGTGTGATATAGTTGAAAGCCTGACAAAAAACTGGTAAGTGGACCTTGAGTTTTGTCAAACCACTACATCTGAGTTCATGGTTTCCCACTCAGATTGAATGCTTCACATATGCATCCTCAGACGAACATGCTAACAGAGGGGCACGGCACTAATTGAGCCCAGTCACTGGACAGAATGAACATAAACTGACTGACTGAAACAACATCACTCACGACAATCACACACACAGTCTCGTTCCATTTCTACTGCATTATTTTCACCGACAAATCTGACAGATGACGCCGTTTTAAAAAAGGAGCCGTCATCAGGCCTTCCATTAACATGACTGGAAAAACAGACACACGCTTCGAGTCCATGTGCTCGTGATTAACCTACTTACCCTCCTAATTCTGTCGCCTTCACACATCCACACACACCCTCACGTGCACACACACACACACACACACACACACACACACACACACACACACACACACACACACACAAAGCTCAGGGTACAACCAGATCTTCAATCACACCTGTCATGTATGTGCAAGGTGGTAATTAGGTGATAAAATTTAAACATGTAGCCTACAGTAGGTAGACAAACCGCTCAGGATGCCAAACACAGACTTATATCTCAGTGCTATCAGGAACAGACTGGCAGGCAGTAGTGACCTTATCTTATATCCCATGGTATCATTATGAAATGCCTTTATTCCTACAGGGGCCTTTCATGTGGTTTTTAGTTCAGCATCATTCCCAAAATGTATTACAGGATCACTATAAATCTTCTCATAAGCACTGAGGTTTACATGTATGAGGGTGAGAGAGGAACACTCAGAACGCAGAAGTCCGAGCAGCCGAGAGGAGGAGGGAGGAGGAGGAGGAGGAGGAGGAGGAGGAGGAGGGGGAGTGCCAGAGAAGACAGTTTAATGATTATTACTGGCTCGGGGCCAAGCTCATAACTCATGTTAACTCTCCAGTGTCTCTCTGCATCTTCTTCATGCTGAAAGGTGTTGACAGGAGGAGAGTCAGCGGGACAAACAGATATTTGGTTTACAGGTGTCAGGGGCATCAGTTTACTTAGAACCTGTGAGTGTAGCTACAATGTTTCTGGCTTGATAGATACTTTTCATTGAGCAGGCGATGAGTAATTAAACAAAGCTGCCAGCAGGGTGAAGTCTTATCTTCATTTTAGTGGATTTATTGGTTTTATTGTTTTTAAATTTGTCCATAAGAAGGAAACTTCTAAAATATTTTATTTCATTTCTTCCAATTGTTTCAAATGAACTTTTGTGAGATGATTAAGTGGCAACTCATAGCTTCAGCTAACTTGTTGTATAATGTAACATTCCTAATGCCACCCACGCACAGTGTTATATCAGTAGAGGTCGCGCATGCTACGTCCTACAAGCCTCATTCAGTCAGAATATTTAACACTTTAAAGTCACAATGTGTAGAATTCATATGTGGTCAAATGAGTTTTTCTACTCTACTCTATAGCATTAACTTTTGTTTCAAATAATAAAAAAATAATAATAATGCAGTGAAAAGGAGGATCACCACCAAGAATCCACCTCAGGACCACAAAATGTCTTGATCCGGGCCTGCCTCAGTTTGACATTTGGACTGACCTGAGTTTACTGTGACCCTGGTGTACAAAAATATATGCCACAGTTTCCTCATATGAAAGATTCAGACTGTGAGAACTCGACCAGGCAAAATAAAAAATCTGTGAAACTGAATCCAACTGACTCATTTTAAACCCAAATAATAGCTTTTGTTATTGGGGATTCTCCTTCTACATTCAAAAGTGAAATTTGCAAATGTTTTGAGAGACAGAGAAACAGCCTCCATCTCCACTCATTTGCATCACTGCTGAGTGAAATTCCTGTTTTCTACCCAGGCTTCTGTCACTGCAGGTGCAATGGTCCTCTCCTCTGAACTTCACATGACCTCTCGGGCAATCTTTGTCTTGTTATTTCTTTTCTTCTTTTTTTATTCCGTCAGCCGTCTTGCCTAACCTGAGAGCTTGCATATCATTCATTGTGCGTGGAACTCTTCCAAGCCCATCTCTTTTATTACAGCTTTGTGCGCCCGCCTTACTTCCCCGTTCCACCGGAGCGCCGGTGGAGGGAGAGACAGGTTGAAGTGAAAAGCAGTAACACCCTCGTCCGTTTGTCTGTCTGTTCTGATGTCACCCTTTCTCTCTGTTTACGTCTAATTTACACCGGAACGCGTTGAGGAAGCGCATTTTTACACCATTTGTTGTGCGTAAAAATGTGCCATTTCCCCCAACGGAAAAACCTAAAATCTAATTGGCTCTATCACCTTTAGAGGACCGCAGACTTTAAAACAGAAGTAGGAATACCGATCACATTGTTTTTGAATTGTTTTTATCCCGTTCAATAAACCTGGAATCCAGAAAATGGAAACTAATATCAAAGTTTTTGTTGATAAATCTTAGAGATTTTTTTTTTAATGTAGATAGATAGATAGATAGATAGATAGATAGATAGATAGATAGATAGATAGATAGATAGATAGATAGATAGATAGATAGTTTAGAGTTATTATTTTTTTATAGCTGTCCCCTCTCGCCTTACTGTTTTTTCAGCGTCCAATTGTAAACATATAAATCACTCATTCGCTTCAATAGATCTGTGCTGAAACTCCGCCTGTGGGCCGTCCCTTGCCGAGGCATTATATTATAGCAAGACAAGCCTGTCTCCGGAGACAGATCTGTATTCAGCTACTCAGACTGAGGCTCAGGGTGCCTCCAGCGCTCCACACGAGCCTTTACAACACAAACACTCAGACTTCTCTGCTGTCAGGACTGCTACACCTGCTCTGCTGCTCAGCTGAGACAAGACTCCAACTGAGGAGACACCTAAGGGAGAAGATCATCCTTCTTAACTGAGAAACATGAAACTTGAAGTTTTCTCTGCGCACCACTTCGTGCAGAAGCCGCTGGAGTTGTGTATGGACGCAGAGGGGGGAGTCCCGTCTCCCCTGTCCGGAGACGAGCTGGGGTCGGACGGGGACTGCGTGGCCAACAGCCCGGCACCTGTCACCCAGGGCGGCGACGGCAGCAAGGGGAAGCCGTACACCCGCAGACCCAAGCCTCCTTACTCCTACATCGCCCTCATCGCCATGGCCATCCGGGAGTCCAGCAGCGGCCGCCTCACTCTGGCAGAGATCAACGACTACCTGATGAAGAAGTTCCCGTTTTTCCGCGGCAGCTACACCGGCTGGAGGAACTCGGTGCGCCACAACCTGTCACTCAACGACTGCTTCCTCAAAGTGCTGCGGGACCCCTCCAGGCCGTGGGGCAAGGACAACTACTGGATGCTCAACCCGCACAGCGAGTACACCTTCGCTGACGGGGTGTTCCGCCGCAGGAGGAAGCGCATCGCCAAGAGGTCCCCCAAGGAGCAGGAGAGCCCGGACATCCTCAGCGAGGACACCCGCCTCCCCGCCCCGGAGGAGAGGGTGGGGGCCAAGTTCTCCAGCTCCTTCGCCATAGACAGCATCCTCAGCACGCCTTTCAAGCGGAGAGAGGACAGCCACGCTGATGCAGACACTCACGCCCCCCGGCTCTACTGGCCCCCAGGGGCCCATGTGCTGCCGTACCCTCTGAACTATCCGGCACAACACATGTACCTGTCAGACGCGGCGTACAGCAGCAGCAGTAGCAGCAGCGGCGGCGGCGGGACAGAGCCCATCAGCAGGGACGCTCTCACATACTTCCAGCAGACAGCACCGGCCATGACCGGACCCGAGGCCGCTTTCAAGATGCCCAGCAAGGCGCGAGGTTTCCACATAGACTCCCTGCTGTCATGAACCTCCCGGGCTGACGTCAGACCTGTAATGTTTTGACCCATGACGTGCACTTTTATGGGCGCTCTTAGCTTTCAGTGCTTTAGCTGTTTAACTGTGGGACTCTGTCTGTCTCATCATGACTACTGTAAGTCATTAAAACAAACAAACATGGCGGGTTGTTAATATTGATCTAACTGTGTGGTGACTGAGTTGCTGTCATCGCAGGACATTCCACTTTGCGTGTGTGTGTGTGTGTGTGTGTGTGTGTGTGTGTGTGTGTGTGTGTGTGTGTGTGTGTGTGTGTGTGTTACAGGTGTTTAGAGAGTGTTTGTATTCTGTATTCATGGTTCATTGGTCATTTCTACTGTGTGCGCCATGTTGAAACATAAAACTAGTCATCTATTTATATTTTCATGTTTTGTAAGACCTGCTGTATAAAATATTGTTGTAAATATATATATATGAAAAAATATTGACTGAGCTGCGGTGAAAAATCACGCGGCTGCACTAGAATCGCATGGAGAAATGTTCTGTTTTCATGCATGTCTGGTATTTTTTATGAATAAAAAAAAAAAAACGTGGGACCCCGGCGTTCAATGAGTAATTCATTGCAGACATAAAGGGAAGGTGGTGTTTGTTAGATGAAAGGCAGGTGTAGAGATGCGTGGTGGTGGTGGTGGTGGTGGTGAGGGTGTGTGTGTGTGTGTGTGTGTGGGGTGGGGGTGAATAGGCCTTACACCTGTTCAACAGCAGACACTCAACAAAGGCAGATTTTACTGTAGACAGGAAGAAAGAAGAGAAATGTTTGACCCATAATCTTAAAAAATAAATCATAAAAATTAGAGTAAAAATAATTTGATGAAACTACCTTACTGAACTTGATATGAAAATATATGAATATTGTAGTTTCTTATTTAAAATGGTAAAAACAAAGTCAGTTTGACTGACAGTAAAATAACATTAAAGAATAAAGATTTCAAACATGTTGTTATTGTTATAATTATTAGGCTGTATTGCTTTGTAGTTTATCGTGTCCTGCACATTCACCTGCCAAAACCACATGAAATTATAAGACACCAAAAAGACATAATTTCATACATTCACAACATTAGCTACATTTCAGCTGTAATGTTGTTTTCTGCTCTTCAAATAAAATCGGACTCACAAATAAAGCTCCCTGGTCATTACCACTATAATTATCCATCCAGAGGAGCTCATCAGAAACAAAGGATATTTCATCAAAATTATGATTATATTTTTGGTCTTATTTGATGTTAATATCTCCTTTATATTTATACTTTTCCTGCTTATGTTCACTAATAAACATGAAATAATTTGTTCTCCGTGGTGATCAGTGACTGTTCATCAAAAACGAATAATAAACTTGGCATAATGACAAATGATAAAACCTGGTGATAACTTGGTGTGGAATGTGTCTTATCTTTATCAAAAAGCGTTTTTATCGTCAGTAAATACAGTCGCTTGTTCCGTCAACAAAACACAATCATCGCTTCTGCTTATTTACTTCGGCACCGTCCAGATTTACACAATATGATGTATTATCTTCATGTGCGCACACAGTCCTGCAGGCTGTTTACTGAGCCTGTCCGGGGGTGTGAGGTGGGTGGGTGGGGTGGGGTAGGAGGGGGCTTCAGTTGCTCTCCGCGGTCCTGAAACACAGACCCCAGCCTCAACAGCCGCCCGTCCATCTGACTTAAGATGTTCCTCACGTGAAACACAAAAGCTTCTGTTAATGAAACTGCGCCGCGACGAGCAAACACGTTTTGGTCCCGACCTGCATTTACAATAAATGTATCTGAAATTAAAATGTTCATTTATTTTCTTTAATGATCTCCGGTGACTCGGGTTTGAAATGTGTTCAGCTCCTGTTAGTTCATGTTTATTCTGCAGTGTTTGGATCCGTCTAGGCTCAAAATCAGGCCTGTTAAATAGTATGATCATTGTTTTTACGCAATTAGAAGAGAAAATATTTAATTCACCATCAAAATAAGATGAAAATGAGAAAGCTGATCCGATTAAGTGACTGATAAAATTAGTTAATGAAGATTATTTTTACAAATTCAGGGAAAGTGAGTGCTTTAAATTTTCTAGAGAAGAAGAGTTTGACCCTTTACACTTCAACATGCTGAATATAGGAAGAATCTTTTTGACCTGCTGGGATATTAGAGTTATTTTGAGTGTAATATTAACAATAGTTAGTTAGTTATTACATCCATCTCAAGATTCAAGTACTAACCTAAGAATATAAACAAGCTTTTTGAACATCTGATTTCATATTTACTGGTCTTATTCACTGAGTTGGCCTATACAGTAGAGCTCATATACCCATGTATGTAACCATGTATATGAGCTGCATGTATTTAACCTGCAGCAGACCGGGGCGCGCGGAGCAGCCTGACAGGTGACAGGTGAGACTCGCTCCCGTTTCCAGGGACAATGCTGCGACCTGCAGGTGAAACGCCAGAACAGCACACCTGTCTGTGGCGGGCTGTCACGTGTCTCCTATCCGCCCAGTATCCCTACACTGTTAGCATCCTCCTTCGTATGTGCAAGCTTTTCTCTTGCATTAACCTCCCGGCCTGTGTCTCTTCCTAACCCCCCCAACCCTCACCCCCCCACCACAGTCCGCGGGCACCGTGCAGCAGCAGCAGCAGCAGCAGCAGCCTGCAGGAGGAACTCAGGCCGCTGCGAGGCTGACTGTCTATACGAACAAGGCCCACAGTGTTATGAAACCAAGCTCTAAGGCAGGCACAATGTTAGGAAGTCCAAACAGTCTGTCACTCCGGCAGACTGAACCGCGCCTGACCTCCCCAGAGTCCCGGAGAGGCAGCTCCAAAGCTCCCGGCACCGCCACAGGAAGCACAGGCGGAGCGGCCAGGAGAATATTAGATTACCGTTACAAGGACCTGAACTCGCTGTTTGTTAATGTTGTAGTTCATGTTTTTTGTTTATTCCAGACCTACTCAATACATAATGACGATTAAAAAAATATGGAACAAAATAAGTATTTTTTATTGACATCATTTGGGAGAAAACTTGTTTCTCAATATTTGTTGATGATACTTTTGGGAATAAATAATAGAAATAAAGGATTAAAAAATATTTTTCTAGGCTAGTATTTTATCTACCATATTGATATATAATATAATGTAGGCCACGGCCATTTTATTTCAAAAGGCCTGAAACAGGTTACCTGAGGTCAGGCAGGGCCGACAAACATTTTCTCAAAATCTAATCTATCTAATATTTTATGGGGATAAACAATAATCTCAGCCTAAACATGAAAACAAACAGAAGGCCTTATTATGTCGGCGATAGGCTCATATGGGCCTCCAGCCGTGACTCCATTCCAAAGACAAGCTCCTCTATCAAACACCCCTCTGAATAGCTTTTCGTGGCGGCCGCGGATCGCTTGATATTTCCAAAAGGGGCTAAATTAGGAGCTCGTATAATCTCGGTGCGTAAAAGCAGCCGCGGCCGGCGTGCCGTCTTCAAAGAGCTCCCAGAACAAAGATTCCCTCTGCGGGCCGGGGCATCCTGAATCTCGGCGGGGGTCATGAGTTTTGATGTCGCAGGAAATTTCTGGGCCCCGTTAAGCTCCTCCAAAAACTCTCTGCTCTTGTGTGTCATGGTGGAAAATGATTTTATCCGCACATCCTTTGTTGTGCAAAAAGTGCAAAGGTTATTGTTGCTGCTTATTGTTTGGAAAATCCTCCGGGCTATATCTAAACTTTAAAAAAAAAAAAAAAAAAAAAAAAAAAAAAAAAGAGGCAGTGACGACAAACACGTGCACGGACACACAGGTTTGAGACTGTGAAATACAATGTAAAAATATGGATTTTTAAAAATCTGATTGTGTTGTTGTTTATATTTTTGCTCAGCAGAGGACACAGTGAAATCAACCAAAAAAAAAAAAAAGGTAAAATATTAACGATGCATGACTAAAAATAATACAGATGCAAGGATGGCACAACCAAAAAGCTCCCTTGCTCTTTTTTTGTTCTTCAAATCCCAATGATCTCCGCTCCATCGCAGCACGGATGTTGATATTATCTCTATGGGATATATAACTCCATCATGTTGGACAAATCTGTGTGTGATGTCTCCATAGGGGAGGAAACTGTCGACGCCCGCTCGCCTAATTTCGCTTTTCTCTCTCTAATGAACGTGGGGCCCATGGGACCGGCTCTGGCCCGGGGCGGTAAGCTGACACTGGCGCGCTGTGTGTGGTATCCAGGGCCGGGCTTGATGGAAAAAGCCTGCTTCCACTCATGTCAAAGTCATTTACTCAGCGCAACCCCCCGCTTACACACGCACGGTAAAGACCACCACCTCTCCATCTCTCACAGTCCTCGGCCAAGCCCGGCACCGCGGACAGTTTGTTTTTGTTATCCTCTGGAGCCGTTTGGGAGGAAATTATGAGCAAAATAATACAAATAATACAAGATGATGCGTTTTTCATTGCTTGACCGCGATGCGTTTGGGTAATATCTGCAGCAGATATCATGCAGGCCTGTGTGAATGTTTTGAGCATCATGGTTTCAATTGCAAGCTGGACCTTTTGTACATATTGTGGTGGTTTACTCGTGTCAGGAAAATGTATGATCTGCGGCACGTCGGCCTGAAATCACAGCTTCAGACATATAGAGGGGGAAAAAGCTCGTTTTTAACTTGTGGCGTGTGGCGCTGTTGATTGGGATGTCTGGGGGAGGTTTGATAGATGGCTTAATTGCGTGTCGTCCGAACTTGGAGAGAGGGAGTGGGAGGGGAAGAGAGGAGACAAGGAGAGGGGAGCGTAGTGGGTGTTTAACGCTGCTGAGAACGGCAAGTGGACTCGGGCCAGATTTGGCAAGAGGGGGGGGGCTCTGTTCGTCACTGATTTCAGAGAGATTTGCAGGCGCAGAGTGCGGATGAGGAGAAGGGGTGGCGGTGGTGGTGGTGGTGGGGGGGGGCTCTCTCAGAGGGAAGAAAGATTTGTGAAATGATAGGTGGTCGCGCTTTGTTTGGCTGGACTGTTGCGCGCAATAAGTCGCGGGGTTTTCGCGTTTCCTCCACTTGAGAGATTGTTCAGGCGATCGATGGCCACCCGGCGCACCACACAGCACCACTTACCGCCGCTCTGATACCCAGTGGAGCTCCCGTGACGAGCTGAAGCCCTGGACACTCAGTCTCCAGTGAATAACCAGCTCCCCCCACTCTCTCTTCCTCTTCCTCTCTCTGTCAGTGCGTACCCGCCGTGCGTTTCTTCATGCGTCAAGGGAGCACCGTGCGTAACGGGAGAGTCGTGCGTAACTGGAGACAGATTGAAATCTGTCTCCAGTCCATTTTGCGCTGGGATTGTGAGGACCACTGGCGGTGTAACGCTCACTTACAGGGACATTGATCCACTGGGTCGACATATTTCTCTTCTCAGACATCTCGCAGCTCGGCTTTTCTCCCTCCCTCTCTCCTCTCTACGCCAGTCGTACGTCAGACATGACGACCGAGACCCCTCAGCAGCAGCTGGACCCTCCGCCTCCTCTGAGATCCAGCCCGGCGTCCGGCGTCCTGCACCCCGCCATGCTGAGCCCACAAGCCGCCACAGAAAGTTCGTCCACCGCCGTCAAAGGAAAAAAGACGAGCTCCGGTTTAAGGCGACCGGAAAAGCCGCCGTACTCCTACATTGCTCTCATCGTTATGGCCATTCAGAGCTCCCCCACCAAACGACTGACACTCAGTGAGATCTACCAGTTTCTCCAGGCTCGCTTCCCTTTCTTCAGGGGCTCATATCAGGGCTGGAAGAACTCAGTGCGACATAATCTTTCGCTCAACGAGTGCTTCATCAAGCTGCCCAAAGGGCTGGGCAGGCCGGGGAAAGGCCACTACTGGACCATCGACCCGGGCAGCGAGTTCATGTTCGAGGAGGGCTCATTTCGTCGCAGACCCAGAGGCTTCAGAAGAAAATGTCAAGCCCTGAAGCCCATGTACCGGATGATGAACGGGATAGGCTTCGGCACATCCATTCTCCCGCAGAGTTTTGATTTCCAGGCTCCATCCGCGACCCTCGCCTGTCACAGCAACAGCTACAACTTGGACATGATGAGCAATTCAATGGCCGGGGGGTACGACGGGCTCAGCGGCGGCCACCACGTACCCCACATGTCCCCGAGCCCCGGCTCCACGTACATGGCGAGCTGTCCCGTGCCGCCTAACGGGGAATACGGACCGGACAGCAGCAGCAGCCCCGTACCGTCCTCTCCAGCCATGGCCAGCGCGCTGGACGGCCACTCCCCGTACGCCAGTACATCCGCACACTGGGCGTCCTCCGGCGGGTCCCCATACATCAAGCAGCAGCCTCTAGCCTCCAGCAGCCCCGCATCCTCCGGTTTACACTCCGGCATGTCGCCTTACTCCCTGGAGCAGAGTTATCTTCACCAGAACGGCAGGGACAGCCACTCCACCGACATATCAGGTACCACACACCCGTCCACCGCTCACGATGAACCACATGTGATACACCTGAGAGTTAAAATAAAAAAATGAATAAATAAAAGCACATGATAATAACCATCAGAGTGTGTCCACCTTCAGACAGGCCTAAAGTGCAGGATGCAAATCATTGATTTCTATCTGCAGCTCAGGCCTGCGACGATAATCAGATGTTTGAAAATCTGAAAATCTAATTATGAATCTTATATTTCACTACTAATAACTCATATTTAAAATAAGGATTGCAATACTTATTTGCAATAGTAAATCATGACAAAATAGAGTTTATAAATTCCTGCTTGGCGACTCGCAAAAATACATTTTAAATTTGATGCTAATAACTTCAATTATATATTTCCCCCTCTTTAAGGGTTCAGTAACCTGAACATTTGTGGGTTAAAAAATAATTTAATGGCTGATGAATTAATTCTGTTTAATGCTGAAGTTGCATTGAATGTTTATTGGATTATAAAGGCCACCCAAGACCATGCACAGCTGAGGTTATCCAGCAAAACAGCTTTAGTTTTAAAATGATTTTTAAGCCAATACACAAATACCATCCTAACTGTAGGAGCTGCTATAAGTAATATGTGACCATGTAATGCCCTGGTTCTAGGATTTCAAAACTCACATTGGGATCTTCAGCGATTTTTTTATGTTGTTGTTGTTGTTTTGCCAAATGAACAGATTAAGAGAAAACAGCTATTGTGTGATCGCGTTCTTAATTCACCTCCCGGTTCACGCTCATTTACTTTATCACAACACACTGAGGCTTTACTAAAGTCTGGGGATTTCACCGAGGCGAGCAAACCCATGCTGGAGCCCAATGGGTCCCAGAGGTTAACTAAACAAAGACTGCGCAGGTCGGACCACACCGGCGGAGGATTTCAACCTCAACCGCCGCGTATCCGCAAGAGACTGAAGGCCTTGTTAAACTTTACGCAGCGTCTTAATTGAGCCTGTACGGAGGATAAACGCGGTGCTGGATTGTTACAGCGCAGGGTCGGTGCAGGAACACGACTGTCAGTCAGTCAGTCAGTCAGTCATTCTGTCTGTCTGTCTGTCTGTGAGAACGGGCTCAGGGCAGCGAGCTGTGGCCCGGAGGAGGATAAAGCCTGCTGTCTTCCCCTGAAAAACACAGTCACATCTGGAGTCCTTATGACCTTGACGAAGCCGCAGCCTCCACATTTATTTTTCTGTTTCTGGAAAGAGAGGCTCACTCACTGACACAAAATGACGCACACTTAGTGTGATTTAATCCTCTAACAATGGAAAAATAACTCATATACAAATGATTAATATTCAGAATATATTCATCTGTAAAAATAAAAGCATTTAAATGGTTTTAAAAACAGCTAAAGGAAGGTGCTCTGTCTTTTAAAATACAAATTAACGGGGGAAATATTGCGCTGTCACCTAGTGGGAGGTTTATAGAAGCAAATAATAACTATTATTTTATTATTTTTTTTAAATACTTATTTCTTCTCTTATGTAAAGAAATACCAGATTTCAACTGTAAATGAATCCGTAAAGGTGTGAGGCAGTTAATGGATCTTTATAGTTTTATAAATAATTATAAATTTATCAAAACAAGGCCTGATTTTAAAACTTACATGACAGTATTATAATGGATTGCCTTATATTTCTTATTCACCAAGCCAAAGATTGCGATAATGAGCGGAAGTGAAATCAGGTTATGAACAAATAAGGCTATTTTATATTTTATTTTGAAAATATTTTACGTGTAAAAACATTCATTTCTGGTCAAAACAAACCTCCTGCGCTGTTTTTGTGCGGAATAATTAATAAAAAAAACTCAGTTTCAAGTGCTAAAAAAAATACTGGACGAATGATAAACTGTGATGAGTGTTAATGTCTCTGTCTCTGTTCTCCTGCAGTGGGGATTCCGCGTTATCAGAGCCACTCCTCGGTGTGCGACAGGAAAGATTTTGTGTTGAACTTTAACGGCATCTCCTCCTTCCACCCCTCGGCTGGCGGATCCTACTATCACCATCACCACCATCACCATCCCCAGAGCGTGTGTCAGGACATCAAACCCTGCGTGATGTGAGCTCTGATCTCACTGTGGACTTCAAACTCGACGACGGCCACAGTGAGACTGCAGGTCCGTCACATCACATCAGAACAAAGAAATGGACATTTTTTTTATTTTTCCTTCTTTTATTTTATTTTTTTTAAAATTTCGGAGGATTCATACCAGGATGTATTTGTGTTTGCCTCCTCCATGCAGCCAAAGTTTTTTTTTTTGTTGTTGTTGTTTTGTTTTTTTTGGACTTGAGAAAACTATGCATTGAAGGAAATGAATGAAGAAACCCCCCCCTCCCACACACACACACACACACACACACGCACACACACGCACACACACACACACCCCAGAGGCCTTGCAGGTAAACCACTTTGCCTATATGAACCCTGAAAAGCGTTTTCCTCCTTCAAAATAAGTTTCAGAAACACGACTTTTAATGTGTTTGCTCTTGTAACACGTGCAGACAAATTGTATCCTATGTAACTATGTTCTATCCTATTAGAGTAACTACACACACGACGCTTTAGGCTAACATGAACTGCCGACAAACCTTGCACTTATTGTATAATCCTTTACTTTTTTTTTGTCTTGTAAAAGGTTTCAATAAAGCTGATATATATTTTAGGCTACATTCAGACTTCTGTCCTTTCATGCAACTTCATATCTGTTTTTGTGGGAAACTTGTTTCATTGGCAGTGGAAGGAGGTGATGCTCAGCTTTGAATACAGCAGAAACACATGTTACAGTTACATTTTCATTAGTGCTATCGGGCTGTTTACACATTTCCACTATGGTCCGCAGAGGTGGAAAACAACTGCACATTTACTCATTTGGGGGAAATGTGTGCTTTATTTGCCTTTTTCCATTTTCTGCTACTTTATACTTGAACTCTGCTGCATTTGTCCAACAGCTGGAGTTTATTTGCATATTAAGATTTAACATGCAAAACCTATGATCAGTTTGTACTTTTAAAGCGTGATTATAGTAGGCTATAGTATATTAAAATACCCAACAGTTTATAGACTCATTCAACTTACTCACTTGCAACACTGCAACATTGCATCAGTAATTATAATGAAATAATATATAACAGTGTAACACTTTTACTTGTTATGGAGTATTTGTAAATTGCACTATTACTACTTCTACTTTAGTAAAGGATCTGAATAATTATTCTTCTGCCACTGATGATCAGGTTTTGAATTAGTATTATTCTCTAGAATTAATCACATTCCTTAACAAAGGCACGTTTACAGTATGACAACCTAGTGTGCAGTTTATGGCTTCCTCCAAAACTGTTGCTGTGGATCTTATTTTACAGTTGAAGAAACATTTTATCATCCAAGTCTATAGTCTATATAATTTCTGTGGTTTTTTGTTTTAGTATGCAGTTGTGATTATAACGGGGCTGTTGCAGTGATGCAAGACGTATATAGATCCTTTACTTAAGTAAAACAGCAATACAACCATAGTCAAATGTTTTAAAGCCAAATAAAGATACACAAGTATCATCAGGAAATTGAACTTAAAGGATAAAAAATTAAAGTACAGCCCTGTTAGTCTTATATTATGATATACTGTAAATCATATAACTAGATTGTCATTAATGATTGATTAACATGTAAAACAGCATTTTAATGTTTATATCATTGAAGAGGAGTTTAATCTAAGGATTAAGATTTGTATTTTATAAATTGCTTTTGTTTTTTTATGAGAAATTTCAATCTGCAAAGTAACTTATGTTTTCAAATACACGTAGTGGAGTAAAAAGTACAATATAAAGTAGAAGTATAAAGTAGCAAAACACAGAAATTTTCAAGTAAACTTTTGTTTATGTTCTCAGTTACTTTCCACAACTGTGGCATTTCAGGCTTATGAAGAAACAGGATTACTGCCGCACATGTTTTTTTCTTTTTGGTCGGTGGCACAAACAAAGCTGTGCACAAAGCTAAGAACCACACAGGCCGATCACTGAAGCACTTCCTTTGAACGTCCTATGAGAGGTTGATGACAGTGTAAAAGGATTTTGTAATAAGGAGGTCATTTAATATATCACATGTTTCTGAGTTTGAGCATTTCCACGTTTCGCATGTTCTGCAGCCGCGTCAGGCCTGTCTAACACAGCTGAAAGTCTTTTGCATCCCGAGGCTGCTCCTTTCCATGTGGACATCCAGGACTGCCAGCATTTGAAGACGCCATATAAACAAATGAAACGACAGGGCCTGCGTCTGTGGAAATGCAACAACGAGGTATTTTTAGAGTGTGGTAAACAGATCGGACTCCGAGAGAGAGAGCTGCCTCATCACACAAACAGAAAGCAGACTTGGGCGGCTGCACTTGCGCTGCTGCCCCAGTTTTTGTCTACATGGCGTTTGCTCGTGAATCAAATGCAGCATCACTCATGAATAACACGTATGCAGATAGGACTTGGCAGCAGCATCTCCTTATCAGGCCACTTACATCATCAGAGTTTCTTTAAATGCTCTGTGGAGTTACTATTCCTGTTTTAAACGCTCACTGACATGTTTAATATCTGTTACCTCAGTATTTATTTGTACTTTGAAACACACAATAGATTTAAAAGCTTTCTGTGGGGCTTTAAGAGCATTAGAAACATGTTAAAGTTTTCGCATTTGAACTATACAAAAAGCCATATGTTCAACGACACGTCACATGTGATATATTCTCATGTTGTGATGCAGAGAAGAAAGAAAAGACGTGGCAGCAAATCGTACCACAGATCTCCACACAACATCATTTGTTTTACACTGCTTGTAAGCAAGCTTCAGATCCAGGATCAGCGTCAGGAAAACACAGTGGGCGAGGAACTGACTGAATCATGCTGGTCTTACTGAAGTGGCCTCCCTCTGGTGCTTTGAACACTTTGGGGGCACAACAAATGTCATATGGGACTGGTAATGGAGAGTGAGGGAAGAAGTGCATCAGCAGTCACATGTCAAACAGAAGAATATCTTTGACTAGACAACAAAGTCCTTTTTTAATTTCCCTCCATGATGAAAAGTCACACAAACTGGCCCTGAAGCAGCTGGATTTTCCATGACAGGACTTCTGAGAGGTAATGAACGTTCAATGTAGTGGAGTACTGCGCCATCTAGTGGCAGGTACACCTGATGCAGAAACTAGGTTTACACCCACAGTACTTTGAGAAACAAAAACTGAAATTACTAACAGTTGCTTTCTACCACAATGAGCTGATTTGGCCGACTCTCATAATTTACATGTGTTGCAAATCTGAGTAAAACACACATGTATGTATTTCATGATTAAAACTGAAGCAGTTTTCTAATAAGGCCAGTTTAAACTCATAGTTGAGTTAAGCAGATGAACTATGTCCTATGTAAACACAACATTTTTGCTACTCACTCTGGCTATTTGTATTCAGGGAATTTTAGAATGAAACTGTAAAAGAAAACTATAACAGACAAAAAAAAGCGAAGATTTAGTGTCAAAGTATTTTAACGCCGTTATGCACAAATACAAAGTTTGGACTGAAATCAGAGGAATCAGCATCTGAGGAACATAAACACCAAACACTCTCCAAGAACTTTGGAGGAAATGCAGCGATCGGTTTTTAGCCAGTTAGTTTGGTCGACCTCTTTTGTTATTATTACTGGGTGGATTGCAATGAAATGTAGCACAGACATTCATGGTTGCCAGATGATGAATCTCAACAACGTTGGTGATCCCAACTTTTCCTGATTCGTGCTAAGTGCTAATTAGCAAATGTTAGAATGCTAAAACACTAGACTAAGACAGAGGCCATAAATATTCCCTGCTGAACCCCAGGCTGTAGCATGCTAATGTTAGCATTTAACTCAAAGCACAACTGTGCCTCACAGTAGAGTCATTGAGCTGTTAGCATGGCTAAAGACTTGTTATCTTATTATGTTTCATTGTCATAGACCAATGTGTTGGATGGGCTGACTGAACTAACTAAAGAACTAACTAACTATAAAAGAAAAACTCAGACATTTTCTAATTTTGCCTTATTTTTGAGCCTAAATATTCCCCCATCTTCCGCTGTCTGTGCTAAGTAATGTGAACAAAATCACAGGATGATACTGTTGATATTTATATTCTCAAATGAAAAAATGTCAGGGACCCTGAGTGGACTCTGGTCTGTAGTCTACATGGCCCACTGCTTTTTGTACATATTACTATTCAATAAACTATTCAAACAGATCAAATATGTGACCTTTCACTGGTTAGTAACTAGTCTATAGCAACACCGGCAGCCCTGTGAAGTTTAATGCTCATTACACATGGTCAGAACATGAAGAGTCAATTTTAAAGATGCAAAGTTGTGAGTGGCACCTCAGGAGAAAAAAAGACAAAAAACATGTTGCCTAAAGCAAAGGGTTCATTGCATCTCAGCCTCAGCTCTATCAGACCGGGTTTAATGTGCTTCAAGCTAAATGCTGATGTCGGCACACAACATAGCTAGGAAAAACTATTTAGCTTATAGCATGTTAGTATATTAGCATGCCAAAGATAATGTGCTCACAGTTAGAGTCAGTAAACATATTAACATTTATGTAATGTTATGCTAATGTGGTAACAGATTTAGCATGCATCCCTTATCATGCTTTCATGCCACCAATTTCTGTAACAAATAATAATTAAGCGGCACCTGACACATTATCATCCCTTCAAAAACCCTGCTAGAAACAGGTCCAATAAAGTGAGTGATCACAGTGTGACATTTACTGTGGGTTATGATCCTTCAGAGGCAGATGATTTACAAGCTATGACCTGACCATGCTGAGGGAGGTCTGAGAAAGCGACCAGGCTGTGGTGATGTTGTACATGGGTACTTGTGTCGCTGTTCTCCTCTGCTTCGTTTGAAGAACTGCTGGAAACGATCGGGGTCCATCTGTTCCCCGTCTGCTCTCCCTCCCTCAGAGGTGGGCCAGAGACTTAAAGACTCCTCCCAAGCGGAATATGAAGCCGTTTTTATTCTTCAGCATCCGTCTCAGCTCAGCTCTCCAGATCAGACAGTTTTGGACATCATTCTGCTCTCACTCCTTATCTTCTCGCAGAGTCGTCCTCCATCTGGTTAGATGTCTGTGAGGAACTGGTC